CTCATTCTTCTCAATTAAATATCATATTTTTATTGAAAAAAAAAATATAAAAAGATGACAAATCATATTTAACCTATTACTAATGAAAGATTTATCAATTGAGAGATCTGTATTTTGCAGATCTTTTTAATACTGATCTGTTTCGAGGATTTTTTTTTTTTTTTTTTTGTATCGATATATATACAAATATATAAATGTATATATATGTATATATAGATCGATAGAAAAAAAAAATTTTAATTTATTCAATGGGTCGTCATTCTATTGAAGAAGCAATATTTATTCAACCTGTAGACGTTTCTACTCTTAATACTCCTTTAACATCAGATAAAACAACCACATTAACAAAGTCGGAGTCGTCAACGTTACCTATATCTAACAACGTTGTCACTTCAATGAAGCATTCTTCCGCTGTTTCAAAAAAATCTTATACAAATGGTTTAACTACCAATCGGAACATTCGGTTTTCTCTAAAAACTCCCGAAGTCCCTATAACACCTCCAACAACTCCTCCTTCTTCGTGTTTTACAAATAATAAATCCCCATTAAGTGTAGAATGTCTGGTACGGGCTCGCATCCCAACTAATACGGGTGAACTTTTCCTTCATGTTTATAGGAATAATAAAGATGGTAAAGAACATTTAGCTGCTGTATATGGTGATGATATTCGTAGTAAGAGTTTAGATGCTTCTCGTCCAAGTGAAAGTGAAATGGATAGAATAGTGAGGGGTGCATATACGGGAAAGTTAAGACCTGGTCAAACTCGTTCCAATGAATCTGACATTCCTATTGTATATTCAAAGCTACATCCACCACCTTTAGTTAGAATTCATTCTGAATGCTTTACTGGTGAAACCTTAAAGAGTGCTAGGTGTGATTGTGGTGAACAATTAGAAGAGGCTAGACGGTTGATCCAATCTGAAGGACGTGGTGTTGTAATATATTTAAGACAAGAAGGTAGAGGGATCGGTTTAGCTGACAAACTCAGGTGAATTTTTAATGTTTAATTAATTAATTTATTATATATTATATATATCTATATATATATATTTGCTTAAATTCGTCATTTTCTTTTTCTTTTTCATCAGAGCATATAACCTTCAGGACTTGGGTCATGATACTGTAGCCGCCAATATTTTCCTAAATCATCCTCCTGATCTTCGTACTTATGATATCGCATCACTGATTCTTGCTGACCTAGATTTAACTTCAATCCGTTTGCTAACAAATAATCCTGATAAAATTGAGCAAATTGAAAATGATGGTGTTAAGGTTATCGAACGTATCCCTATGATACCTCGTGTTTGGAAAGGTAACCTTGATTCTAATCGTATAGGTCATGAAATGGATCAATATCTTAAAGTTAAAGTTGAAAGAATGAG